CAGTTGACTCATGATGATAATAGGCTTGTTTTATTCTGATCCTTTTTCGCAACCAAGTGTGGACTATCCTTTACACTTGGCTGAACCGTACTGATAAAGGCTAAGTAGCCAGAAACACGTGTATGCGTTTTGCCCACTTTCCTATGAGTGCTAGTCCAATAGTTCCTTTTTATTTATTAATACCGTATCACTCAATATCCATCATTTATGTTTGTACAGAAGCTCAAATTATTGGATGCAACTACCATTTTAATCAGTATTCATGGAGGTGAGTGCAACACATTTAATTAATCATGAATTAAGAAAATCATGATAACATGGATAAAATGGCAGTAGGTTTCGATTATTTTGTTTTAAGTGGCTGGATAATCCCAAACGTAAAGGTAAGTGGAAGAAACTTATAGTGAATTTCTATGGGGTAGAAAAAAATTCTAAACATATCAAAAAATCAATTATTCAAATCAAAGAATTCAAAGGATTGTAGATGAATATAAAGAGGCTAGATAGAAACTTTAAGAAATGTCTTGACACTTTAGCTGATATTCAAAAACTGGAATAAACAAACTATAAAATTCAATGTAAATATTGAATTTTTTCCTTACCTGAAATACTTGATACCGATATCCAATCAGGAAGGTCAACTTTTATATTCACCAGCGTTTTGCTGGCAGTCCTAAGCCTATAAAAAGTGTGCAGGAAAGTTTCCTTTTCTGTATTTCGGTATACTATACTTACATCCTCTAAAGTGGAAATTTAATCAATATTGTTGTGGTACTTATAACCCCTACAAATATATCATTTCGTATTTACTTACCTGCACCACCATCGATCGCATAATATGTAAATTATAGGTTTTGCGTCAAAATTGCACCGCCGCATTTGTCGTGCATCGACTTTTGATATATACAAACTAACAGCTACCTGTTCAGGTAGCAAAAAATCAGATATTTTTTCTTTCAAGGTAATCTGAGATTAAATAGTGAATTAATGGAAAGCCCTTTAAATTCATGATGCAGATATAATCTGTAGAACATAGTCAAGATCCAAATTAACAAACACTTCAATTGATTCAATTAGAAAATTTCTAGCTTTAAAGGTAAACGTCATGTGGATAAAGATATACACTGAACAAGCTGAAAGCACCGCGAGCGGCTACTGCCTCAGTCTCTAATGCACACACTTTTTGAAATCAAATAATAATATTTTCACTTAAAGTTTCTGGTACTTAGCCCTGCTTGAACATACCTGATAATTGAAACATTCACAATGTTAATGAAAATTGGATTAGTGACTTGTCTGATGACTTATCTACTTCTGCGCATTTTCCTGTAAATTAAAAATTATTATTATTTTATTCCCGCTTAATCTCAAATTGACATACTTTGACAAACTTGGCTCCTTCAAAATTGTAGGCTTCGCTGCTCTTCTTGGTCGTGGACTGCTGAAAATGTTTTTTACTTATAAAACTTGAATTACTGTTTTTTGTTTTTTTTTCAGATCAACTCTTCGATACTGAAAAAAATCGTGATCCAAAATTGAAGTGAATAATTAAATTTTCAGTTTAGCAAAAGCAAATTTGAAAGTGTAGAATGGAAGAATTTCTGGTA